GTTGCAAAAGGAAATAATATTCACCTAATTGTATAAAAGTGACTTGAGTTTTTTAAAACTGTAGGGTCGCTTCAAATATTAGCAAAAAACTTTTTGCATGCACCTAATATGTTTTATGTATAATCTTCAATATTTTCACCGTGAATGAAATAAATGCAAGCTGAAACTAAGACAAAAGATGTGCTCTACCCACAGCTTCAAAAATGTTCTAGAGCAGGCACCTCCAGATGTTCTGGACTTCAACTCTCACAATTCCTAACAGCCGGTAGGAGTTGAAGTCCAAAACACCTGAAGGGCCAAAGTTTCCCTATTCCTGTTCTAGAGCATGCCTAAAACATCTTTGGTGTATGCAAAAACGAGTTATTTTATCATTCTGGCCAGAGATTCTGAAAGTCGTAGTCCAAAAAATATCTTTCCAAACCTCTATTCTCTATTCTTCCTAACCAGATAATTGCATTTGGCAACCAATCCATTTATGTATTGTCGAAGGCTTTCATGGCCGGAATCACTGGGTTGTTGTAGGTTTTTTTGGGCTATATGGCCATGGTCTAGAGAGGCATTCTCTCCTGACGTTTCGCCTGCATCTATGGCAAGCATCCTCAGAGGTAGTGAGGAGGTCGGAGAACCCTCACTACCTCTCAGGATGCTTGCCATAGATGCAGGTGAAATGTCAGGAGAAAATGCCTCTAGACCATGGTCATATAGCCCGAAAAAACCTACAACAACCCAATCCATTTATATTTTACCAAACCTCTAATTCCAAAGCCTCAACTAGGTATTGACAAATTACTAATAAAGTTATATTTATTTGCTCACTTCGGATGATATCGCTGATGTTTGTTTGTTTATTTATTTATTTCTGGTATTTCTACCCCATCTCTTTTCTACCCCTGAAGGGGGACTCAAGGCTCCTTACACATTTCAGCTTATTTTAACTGCATTTTCTATACTAATTTGATTTGAGCTCATCGCTTTCAGTCAGTGTTAATAGAAAAGTGACTCATAAACTAATAATGTACTCTCTTGCCTATCTTAGTTGAATCTGAGGTCACATGATGCATGGTATCTGTTGGAGCATCTGTTATCTGTTCCATTATATGTAAGGCAGCAATCACTATAAAAACTAAGGCAGTGAAAATAATAATAATAATAATAATAATAATAATAATAATAATAATAATACCTTTATTTATATCCTACCACCATCTCCCCAAAGGACCTCAGGGCGGTTTACAAAGCACATATAACATACAACAGATAAAACAGTACAAAGGTATAAAACAAGTCTCATAAAATTATAACAGCCCACATCAACACATGTTAAAGTCAAAACAACACAATTTTAAAACAACAGTAGATAAAACTAACAGCCATCAGTTCACAGGTGCCAAGTGTCAGCGTCATGTTGGCCCATTCAGCCTACTTAATGTCAAAGGCCTATCTGAACATCCATGTTTTCAGGTTGGAACAGAAGGATTAAAGGTTGGGGGGTAATCTAATCTCTTTTGGGAGAGTATTCCAGAGCCGGAGGGCCACCACAGAGAAGGTCCTCTCTCTTGGAACAGAGGTGGGACTGAGAGAAGGGCTTCCCCTGTTGATCTCAGAGCCCGTGCCGATTCACAGAAAGAGATGCGGTCTCGAAGATAGGTTGGACCCGAAGGATTTAGGGCTTTATAGGTAATAACCTGCACTTTGATTTGAGCCCGGAAACTTGTCGGAAGCCAGTGGAGCTGCTTCAGCAGGGGTGGGGTATGTTCCCTGTAGTTAGCTCCAGTTAGTAATCTGGCAGCCAACCTTTGCACTAGCTGAGGTTTCCAAACTGTTTTCAAAGGCAGCCCCACATACAGTGCATTACAGTAGTCCATTCTGGATTTAACTAAGGTGTGGACACTGGGGCCAAGTCAGGCTTTTCGGGGTATGGACACAGCTGGTGCACAGGTTTTAATTGTGYGAAGGCCCTCCCAGCCAACACCGACACCTGAGCCTCAAGCGTGAGTGCTGAGTCCAGGAGGACCCCCAGACTGTGGACCTGTGTCCTCGGGGGGGGGGGAGAGTTTGGAAAGAAAAACTGAGAGGGCTGTGGTGCAACTGACTGGTGGAAGGAGCTGAGAGGAAAGGGAATAATCCCTGAAAATTGGTAGCAGTTCTTCCCATGTGTGTTGTGTGTCTTATGGAAGTGTTTCAAGGTTTCCTCTCTACTCTCTAGTCTACCATAGTGTTTCTTAGTGTAGAGAAGCGGTCCTCAACTTGTGGGTCCCAGGTGTTTTGACCTACAACTCCCAGAAATCCCAGACAGTTTACCAACTGTTAGGATTTGTGAGAGTTGAAGACCAAAATATCTGGGGATCCACAGATTGAGAACCACTGGTGTAGAGGGATGGACTTTGAAGGATGGACAAGGACTCTGCTTCTGGTACTTCATCGAAACCTGTATCCAAGCCAGGACACTTTCCAACTTCCTCTTCACTTAGCATTTTATGCTGGGAGATCTTGGGAAAATTAATTTAGTGGGGCTATAACTCCTAGAATGCATTAATCAACACCAACTATGGGAATAGTTTCTGATAGTTCAAAACAGACTCTCATTGGTTCTAGCCAGAATAACCAATACTTAGAAATCACAACGCTGCACCCCAGCGACATTTGGAGGGCCTCAATTGTTCCACCCCTGATTTAATTGCTAGGAGGAAAACAACACCTTCCCTCTCTGTCTGTCTGGCACCTTCCATCCTAGACTGGCTGTAGGAACAGCAAGTTAAGACTTCAAGAAGCAAATGAATGGGTAAACACGGCAGTAATTCTTTCTCCAAAGAGATTGCAGCACAACATGCTCTATGCCAGCCTAATCACTCTAGTCCAAAGAAATATTACTGGGTTGCTAAGAGAACATTCTCTAGTGAGGGCTACTCATATTCTGCACTCAGTGCCTTGTCTGTGCAGTAGGCCCATCATTTTTGCAGAAGTTCAGGATGCTGGACACGCAAAAAAGCTGAAAAACCTTGAATAAAGAGTCCACTAATTTTTTTTTTACTTGCACGAACACCTCTCTAGGAATCTCCTTCAGGGCAACTCAAGGCAGCTTCCACCAGAAGTCTACCTAACTAAGTAGTTGACAAAAGATTCTGTCATTTGCCCAATGTGTCATTTGGCACAAAAGGTAACAATAATTATTATATTTCATATTATAACTACATGCTGTCATTTGGATCAGAGGTTTCTACAAAGCACCTGCAACTATTCCAGAATGTTGAGGGCTTTGGAACAAGAGTTATGACACAGAAGAGAGAAGGCCAACAAACTAAGTCAAACTTTAATCAGGATTATAGTTGGTTTTGGAGCCCTCTGTGGCGCAGCAGATTAAACTGCTGAGCTAGTGAGCTTACTGACCGAAAGGTCGGCAGTTCAAATCTGGAGAGCAGGATAAACTCCCGCTGTTAGCCCCAACTTCTGCCAAACTAGCAGTTCAAAAACATGCAAATGTGAGTAGATCAATAGGTACTGCTCTGGCAGGAAGGTAATGGCGCTCCATGCAGTCATGCTGGCCACAAGACCTTGGAGGCATCTATGGACAACACCAGCTCTTTGGCTTAGAAATGGAGATGACCACCACCCCACCAGAGTCGGACACAACAAGACTTAATGTCATGGGAAACCTTTACCTATCGTTGGTTTTGTGAACCCTCCACTGAGTTTTGTAATCTGGCACTTGATCATTTTGGAGAATCACTGAAACCAGCCATGTTTGTTCCACAGACTAAAAAGTATGTCAACTGTTTTTCACAGTAGCAAGATTTGAAGACATAGCCATGTTGGTCTATTTCAGCATGAAATATGAAGAAATCTGTGTGCCTATGGGACTGAGAAAAATATGTTTCTAGCATAAGCTTTGGTTGACCCCTGCCTATTTCATGAGATGCAAGTCATATCACTTAATGCATCTTAAAGAGTGGAGAAAGGAAACTATGTGCAATCCATTCCAAGAGGAGGCAGCTTTCTACCATCCAGGTATTACCATCCAGAGAAGTGATGCAACCCCTCTACTCTGCCTTGCTCAGACCACACCTGGAACACTGTGACCAATTCTGGGCACTGCAATTGAAGGGAGATGTTGACAAGCTGGAATGTGTCCAGAGGAGGGTGATTAAAATGGTCAAGGGTCTGGAGAACAAGCCCTTTGAGGAGCAGCTTAAAGAGCCAGGGATGTTTAGCCTGCAGAAGAGAAGGCTGAGAGGGCCATGATAAGGGCCATGTATCAAGATGTGAGGGGAAGTCATAGGGAGGAAGGAGCAACTTGTTTTCTGCTGCCTTGGAGATTAGGATGTGGAACAATGGCTCCAAACTACAGGAAAGGAGATTCTACCTGAACATTAGGAAGAACTTCCTAACTGTGAGAGCTGTTCAGCAGTGGAACTCTCTGCCCTGGAATGTGGTGGAGGCTCCTTCTTTGGAGGCTTTTAAAAAGAGGATGGATGGCCATCTGTCAGGAGTGCTTGGAATGTCATTTTCCTGCTTCTTGGCAGGGGGTTGGACTGGATGGCCCACAAGGTCTCTTCCAACTATTATTTTATTTTAGTATATAACTCTGAAGCCTTGGTGGCTGAGGTTTCATGAATTAGCAATCCCATATAATATGAAAACTTGTATTAGATAATTTATTTTTCTTGGCTAGTCTTCAATGTGTGATGGGATTATTTAATATCATTTTAGCTTTTCCGCAATGCTTACAAACTCTGGACTGTAACGTAAGCAAAATTTACAAAATGGATATTTCCATACAACATTTGTTTTGGAATAAGCTAAACTGAGAACTTGGATTTTCAAATGCTAATTTTCAGTTTGATTTATCATTAACGTACTGGGAAATAAGAAGCAATAGCCACAAGCAAGATTGGCTTGTAAAGAGAGGAAGAATCAACTTAGAACACTGACCCAGTATGTCAACAGTTCAGGAAAGGGTTACATCTGGCAAAGCTATAGTCTGAAATCACAGAATTGCTTACTTGTAATATCAACCTCAGTATTTGCAAGTGGAGGCAGGTTAGGTGAGGAAAAGGCATTGAAACTCTCTGCATCCACCTTAGTCACCCGGTTTCCCCTGTACAGTTTATTACAAAAGTACAGACACACCTACAAGGACAAGAAAAGAAACATGTCAGGATCTAAACCTTGTAATTAAAAGATGCAACCAATTAAAAAGAAAACACATGTCTGACTCTTTCTTTAAATATAATGAGAATGATTTAGGAGACGCTTATAAATATAATGAGAATCACACTAGAGAGATGCATATATCCTGCATGTTTTTAGAAGCACAATGCCTGTCAATCAGTATTTTGGTCTTAAACAACCGATGTAAGTCCACGGCTTGTAATATTTCCTTCCAAGAGTGGACTTGTTAGGTTTGAAGGCTTATTAGGCACCTCTGAAGATCACAGAATCGTACACTTGGAAGGGATCACAAAGGCCATCCAGTCCAATCCCTGCCATGCAGGAGCCCAAAATCAAAGCACTCATGACAGATGGCTATCCAGTCTCTTCCCAGAGGAAGAAACGCCACCCAAATCCACATTTTCATTGTTGAAATCTACCAACCATGATATTTTTAATAGTGCATTACATTACCTTGGAGTACACTGCTGCACATAAGCAGCCCCAGAGCCCTTAGAAAGGTTAGGACAGTGGTTTTCAACCTGTGGGTCCCCAGGTGTTTTGGCCTACAACTCCCAGAAATCCCAGCCAGTTTACCAGCTGTTAAGATTTCTGGGAGTTGTAGGCAAAAACATCTGGAGATCCACAGGTTGGGAACCACTGGGCTAGGAGAATGCAGATGAGAGTCAGACAGGAGTGTAAGTCTCATTATGTCTTAGCCAGATCTATAGGTCCCTCTATTTATTTATTTATTTATTTATTTATTTATTTACCACATTTATACCCTGCCTTCTCACTCCCTTAGGGGACTCAGAGTGGCTTACAAACATAGACAACGATTTGATGCCCTATAAACATACATCAAGTGAAATAAAAACATATACATTAAAGCAATCATTAAAACTACTTATTTGAAATCACACAATCCGATATCATAGTCCGATTGTCATTGTACCATTCTCTGTTCTCTTATTGCACGGTTACTGCCCGAAAGCCTGGTCCCACATCACATCTTTAGCTTTTTCCTGATCCGATTTCACTTGGGAGGGAATTCCATAGCCGAGGGACCACCACCAAGAAGGCCCTGTCTCTCGTTCCCACCCACTGCACCTGGGAAGGAGGTGAGACTGAGAGTAGGGCCTCCCCAGAAGATCTTAACCTTCTAGCTGGCTCATGGAGGGAGACAAGTTCAGGAAAGGACAGGTAAGCTGGGCCGGAAATGTTTAGTGCTTTATAGGCTAAAGCCAGCACTTTGAATTGTGCTCAGTAGCAGACTGGCTACTGGTAGAAGACTGACTCTATTCCTACACAGAAGCACCATCTATTCTACCACTAGTGCCAATGGGCACACATGTAACTGCAAAGTAAGCAACCTGGTGCTTTCCATATGCATTTGATTACTATTTCCATAAATATCAGCCACTACGCCCAATGACAGAGAAGTCTGGGAGTTATAGACTATGGGCAAGAGTACACTGAAACTGTTGATCAAGGCTGTTGGTCAAGTGCCACGTTGCTGTCCGCATAGTGTCCGCATGGTCTAGTCACATCAGCCCAAGTGGACACAGAGGCCCATGTGAGCTCCTGGATGTGGCGGGCACCATGTTCTGACATTAGCAGAAGTGCCCAAGGGACCAGGAAGAAGTGGGAACGATCTCCTTTCCTTCTTACTTGTCAAAGATGCCTCCATCCATGCATGCAACAGCTAAGTGTTATGACAACAGTGTCACAGGTGAACTCCACCCCCCCCCTTCCCAACGGTGATGGTACTGGTATCATGTATTGATAGTGGAGCTATCCAAATCAGAACCAATCCTGTTGTCTAGTGTGCCCCGAGTTTTCAGCAAACACCAGAATATGCCCTAACTTTGCTCAAAAGAGAACAAAGCCAGTTTTAACCCTGAAAAACCAGCAATATTCATGGGAACAGCCAGAAGTGAATTCAAAGTGAATCCATGTTTTCTTGCTCATGAAGACTTGCTCTGAAATACCTGAACTCTCCCTAGAATTCAAGATGACTAAGCATCCTATAATATACTTGGGCATATCATGAGTTGACATGATTGTAAATTAGCCTAAGAAGGTACTGATCCACAAAAAGGTACAGATCTACAAAAAAAAGGTACTGAGAAGGGTAAGGGGAGGACTATTGGGAGTCTTTGGAGTTATTTTGTACTTATCGTATCAGGAGCAAACCAAGGGCAACAGTCTTTGGAGTTATATTGGAACATTCATCTGAAGTATTCTAAATTAAAGGAGTAATCGTTTTTTGGCATCACAATATATATTTTTCAAACTCTGAATAGAAAAAGGGTTCCTGGCAAGAAGTCATTAATTGAGCTCTTGTTGTAATTAGTTCATTCTGACATTTTATGCATACTCTTGAGGTGGCATTGATGATCATTCCCAAAAGAAAAGGTCAAATATGGGGCCATCCATGAGAGCAGGAGCAAGAACAAAGCAATTACAATTAAGATCATGAACAAACCTCAGGAATCACGAATTGTCCTGCAATCAAGAGCGCCCCCAGCAGGTTGGCTCTGCCGTCATTCCTCAGTTCATATATGGGTACCTAGAAAAGAAAGTGGGGAAATGACAGCCATTTGCTCTTTGAAATATAAGCATATACCAGCAAAAAGAGAGATCCCAGAATATTTAATACAAAGGAAGTCTAAATCCATGAATAATTTATGAAACACTTGCTTATCATATGATTTAGTGGAACTTGGGACATATTTCTTCATCTAAACTGTGGCAGATGGTAGAATTTCTCCTTTTGAATGTAAAACATATTCTCCCTGTTCCTCACAATTATCATTCAGTTTTGCATCTTTTTTATTTGTTGGGGTGAGAAATAGAAGAACTCAACAGCCAAGATCCTAATTTCATAGCTACGAAGTATAACTTTACAATGACGTGGCTATGCCACTGACATGATAGGCAATCATACTTGTGAATTACAACAATGCATGATGGGGTATCATGCAAGATGGACCATTGTGCAACGACAGCTCCCATTGCCAAATAGGATACACTGATCATTGGGACATGATCATTGGGACTGCAGTGAAGACCGACAGGTCGCAGGTTCGAACCCAGGAGAGCACAGTTGAGCTCCCTCTGTCAGCTCCAGCTACCAATGTGGGGACATGAGAGAAGGATGGCAAAACATCAAAAACATCCGGGTGTCCCCTGGGCAATGTCCTTGCAGACAGCCAGTTATCTCACACCAGAAGAGACTTGCAGTTTCTCAAGTCGCTCCTGACACACACACAAAAAATCATTGGGACATGTTGCAGAAAGGGACATATTGCACAGGGGGTACATTGTCCCTTTGTAAGCTGTCCCGAGTCACTTTGGGGAGATGGAGGCAGGGCATAAAAATAAAGATATTATTATTATTATTATTATTATTATTATTATTATTATTATTATTATCATTATTATTATTTTGTTCAATAAACATGTTCCACTTCAATAGTCCAATAGCATAGCCAGGTGTCTCCTCTCCTCCCTGGAATATGAATGATTCACAATGGTGCAATTCAGCTTTATGCAATTACACATCAGTTTAGTAAGAAATACAGTCTGCCAAATGGACCCCACCACACACACCATAGTCGACTATTGCCTTGAATAACAACTGGAAGCTTCAACTATCATAAAATATGGCAGTCAGCTCCCTGCTTGAGTGGGGATGAGATCCTCTAGGCCAGCGGCCAGAATCACGTGTCCTGTGGGGTAGAACTTGGCGTTAAGTGTAAACGTTGGAAAACCCAATGATCCTCCAAACACATTGATATACACCAAGTATCTTCAACTGGAAAAAGGTTTGCTGAAAATAACAGATGAATTATCAAAAAACCACTTTGGGTACTGTTTTGGGATAGCCCTAATTTCAAAACAGCCCTCCCAAATCACCGAATTATGAAACTAGCAACTAATAATGGAACACTGCCACTTTAGTGTACCCAAAATGGTAGCCGTGAAGATGAGCAGTGGTTTGCTGAAGTTCTACTGTCAAATATAAACGAGGGCAGCCCTCCAGACTTTGCAGCATTGAGTCAGGTTGGTCAGATATTATCCAAGTGTAAAGCATCTCCATAAAACTGCTATTGGCCCAACTGGAGGGAATAGACCAGTGGTTCCCAATCTGTGGTCCATGGACTAACAGTGGTCCACAAGAACTAAATATGACCTCCCGCCTCACCATTACTACACAGTTGCAACGAGAGTGACTGATCTCACGAAACCCTCCTATAGTGCGGAGGCTTATTAAATATGGTTTTCTGTGGGTGAGCAGATGACAACTACTGGATGGCATATGTTCTGTATCAGAAACTAGAGCTGATGTGTTCTATCCAATGCAATGTTTTGAATTAGCACCCCAGTTGACCAAAAACTCATTTGTAGCTCTCTTGGTACTAATGTTGGAGAGTGGTACCTGGTCAAAGTGGTCCCTGGTCATAAAAAGGTTGGGAACCATTGCAACAGATGAATACAAGTGCTATGCTTTTCTTCCTTCATGCCCTGTATCCATATATAATCAAATGTAAATGATAAAAGGAGCAATTTCAGCCATGGTAGTTAAAAAAATCTAGTCCTCTATGACTACTGCTGCCCCAATCTTATTAACAGCTCCCTTGTGTTTTTGATTAAAGAAAAAGACAGGGAATTGGAATTTGAACCTATAGGACAATTCGGCACAGTGCCCAACTTCACACTCCTACCTGTATATACTTTATACAGTTGTTGTGAAGAGGGATGAGATAAACTTTAGTCTAACACAACACATAGTCCATCTTGCTCAGTAAGGCCAATTCCAGAAAGTTTGTTGTTACAGGCAAAGAACAAGATGATACCCACTCAGAAAAGCCAACTGGACTGGCAGGGGAATCTTTTTTTCCAACAGCCTCCTCCATCATGCTTGACGGCAGTAGGCTAACTTAGGAAGTATTAGGCACGTATCTCTCTCTCCAGCACACAACTGCCACCTCCTGGCCTCTGTCAAGTGAGACAAAGCATTTCAGTCTGCCTAATACTAGGGTCAGTTTTTAAAGGACGTTTCTTACCTGGGATCCTGTCAGAATGATAGTTTTACCCAGATTCTCACACATGAAGGACAATGCCGAGGCTGTATAGGCCATAGTGTCAGTGCCATGTAGGATCACAAATCCATCGTACTTTTCATAGTTTATCTGTTGATTCAAAAAAATGTTTTTACATTAGGGAAAAGAAGGAGTAGAAGGGGTATAAATAACATCCCCGCTTTCAAGAAACAGCTGAAGACATACCATTGCTCACTGGCTTACAAGGAGTAGTAGGAGTAGTTGGTAATACTGCAATTATACCTGTGATTAATAGTTACCATCTGTATCCGTGCACTGTTTGCCCCACCAGCTCAATAGATATATTGAGCAATGATCAATCTATTTGCCCCAAGGAAGTGGGAAATTGTTGTTTCTATTGGATGTTAGATGTTTTGTCTTACGTCTGTTATAACAGGCTGTGTTTTTTATTTAATTTTAGTTGTTAAGTCATAATTCATGTCTATATGTTGGGGTGTTTAAATTTTGTTAGCATGGATGTGTTGTTGTGTTTGGGCATTGAATAAACATTGCCTTTTATGTTTGGAATCTGCCCTGAGTCCCTTCGGGGAGATAGAGCATAATATAAATACATTGTTGTTGTTGTTGTTGTTGTTGTTATATGAAAACATAACGTGGCAAGCAAGTTGACTTTTAGACACTAATTCATGGAGCAGAATTACCTTTTCGTTGTTTTGTTTTGTTTTATTTTTTACTACAAAACCCACCAAGTGGAGGTGCAATAATGAACACTTAGAAATAAAGAGCCAGTTGCCCCTAAGCATATTTTTCTTCCAGTATTGGAACAGAACTCCAAGCTTTCAGTCTTTCACTGCTTTCCAAGATCCATTGCCATTTACACAGTTGTCTCCATTTTAGAAGTCCATTCTAATTTAAGTGGGGATTATATTTCTATCATTAACCAAACAAGAGACAGGAACTCTTGCAATGTAATGTAAATAAAAAATCTATGTAATCTAATATTGCTCACCCCAGTGAGCAATAAGATTCTATCAGTGTTGTCAAGATTCTATCAGCATTGCCTCTTAAAAGTCCTACAAATCTCTTCACAAGAAGACAAGTGAACAAGTACAATAATCAAACAACTCTTCAATACATTGTTGAATGTATTGATGGGATCCCCACTGAAATCTTTGAATAAGGCGTGCCTAAGCCAACACAGCAACTGCACAAGCTCATTGAAAAAGTGTGGGTGACCGAGAAGATACCAGCGGACTTCAAGGATACCACTATCATCACCCTTTTCAGAAAGGGAGAAAGAACAGACAGTGGAAACTCTCAAGATGTTTTCCTTCTATCCTCCACCAGAAAAAAATCCTCTCAAGAATTCTCGCAATCCACCTTCTACCTTTTTCGGAAGACGTCCTCCCTAAATCCCAGAATAGCTTCCACCCCTCCAGAGGAACAGTGGATATGATTTGCACTCCAAGAAAAATGTAGGGAACAAAATCAACCTCTGTACATGGCATTTTATCAATCTTGAAAAGACCTTTGACCCGGTGAATGGCAATGCTCTCTGGATCAACCGCTTGAAAATCAGATGCCCAGATAAATTTGTGAACATCCTGTGGCTCCTCCATGATGGCATGACGCCAACAGTCTTGGACAGCAACGGCCCTCAGAGTGACCCATTTCAGCAGGGATTATTTGTCAAACAGGGATAGGTTATTGCCCCAACCTTATTTTCCATCTTCATAACTATGATTCTACACCTTGTTGATGGGAAGCTTCCCACTGGTGTGAAAATCACCTATAATCATAGAGTTGGAAGAGAGCACATGGGCCATTTAGTTCAACTCCCTGCCATGCAGGAAAAGCACAACCAAAGTACCCCCGACAGAAGGCCACCCAGCCTCTGTTAAAGAATCTCCAAGGAAGGAGCTTCCACCACACTCCAAGGCAGAGAGTCCCTGTGCTGAACAGTTCTTAATATCAGGAAATTCTTCCTAATGTTCAGGTGGCAACTCCTTTCTTATCAAGCTCTTTAACCTCATCAGGCTGAATGCCAAAACAACAACTTCTGTGATAGATCTCCAATATGCCTCCAGCATTGTATAATGAAGAAGTGAGAATTCAAGGCCTTAAAATAAGTGTTAAAAGGCATGTTCTAGTACTTTTTTCCATGTGAGATACTAGAGTTCATAGCTGTTCTTTCGATAGGTCCCCTTGGAGCAAAAATAATTGAACATTTACAACAGAAGAACATGTAAGGGAGTGGATTGGTTATACAAAATAACAGAAAGCTGACAGGGTTTGCTACATGGGCCAAAAAACTCATGCCACAAATGACCTGCTGGTTTTCATAATGTTCAACAGCTTTCAGTGAGAATCCCAGTTCTTTGACTTTAACCCAGGCATGGGCAAACTTTGGCCATCTGTGTGCCTGGGAACTACGGGGTGCTGTTCCTGGGTTATACATATCTGTTCCTCATTGCTTTTATCATAAAACATGAGGAAAGTTGATTACATGGCAAAACCTTTGTTTGTGTGTCACAAACTTCATTAAACATGTGAAGGACGAAGTTTCTCTTCCCAGGATAAAGTGTTTGCTCTCTAGTCAACTGTTGCCATGCTTTTAGGATAATCAGGGACAGACATCTAAAAGCCAGATAAAAAATCCTGTGTTTTCCAAGTGTAGGGATATAGAGACATCTGAAGATGCATATTTTCGGGCCAGAACTGGGATATTCCCAAACCTGAAAATCTCGCATTTTTTGCCGTTTGTAGCACTTGCTCCCACGTTTTCAGGAAACAGCATTTGGCCACCCTCCATTTTGGGGCGGGAGCTCCAGGGATAAAGGCACCTACATGACTAGCAAGAAGATGAGCATTGGATCTCCCCATTCTTGCGAGTCTTGACGGGTCCTAGGAGTGGTGACATAGAATCATAGAATCTAAGAGTTGGAAGAGACCTCATGGGCCATCCAGTCCAACCCCCTGCCAAGAAGCAGGAATACTGCATTCAATTCACCCCTGAGAGATGGCCATCCAGCCTCTGTTTAAAAGCTTCCAAAGAAGGAGCCTTCACCACACTCCGGGGCAGAGAATTCCACTGCTGAACAGCTCTCACAGTCAGGAAGTTCTTCCTCATGTTCAGATGGAATCTCCTCTCTTGTAGTGTGAAGCCATTGTTCCTTGTCCTAAACAAGCTTGCTCCCTCCTCCCTGTGGCTTCCTCTCACATATTTATACATGGCTATCATATCTCCTCTCAGCCTTCTCTTCTTCAGGCTAAACATGCCCAGCTCCTTAAGCCACTCCTCATAGGGCTTGTTCTCCAGACCCTTGACATGTAGGAGGTGAGAGTCCAGCAGCACCAATGAGGGCCCAGGCCATCTCAATTCAGCATTGAACTAACCTGCCCGGTGTAGATAGGCCACTAGAAATATTCTGATATTTTTAATATGTTATTTGTTCAGTAAATTGAATGCAATAAAAATGCATACTGCATAAAACATAAAGTTAAACGCTTGAGAATTTAGCACTACCTCTGAGGATGCTTGCCATAGATGCAGGCGAAACGTCAGGAGAGAATGCCTTTAGAACATGGTCATATAGCCCAAAAAAACCCTATAACAACCCAATTTGGCACTTGTTAGTCACCCAGGACTTAAGTAGCATGGATTGGACAGAAATCTGTCAGTGGAAGATGTTGTAATCCTTACCAAACAATCAGGAGATGTATCACCCGTCCTCCCACCATTTCCCTCTTTGTACCTCCTTCTTTTGAGAAAGACTGTAACTAACTGGTGGAACCGGCACTCTGACTATTGAAAGTGCCAGATGCAGCCCCTCACTCTAATCCCAAGTATCTCTGGAAAGACACCTTCTCTCCCTTGAACCATTGACAGCCACTACAAGTCTCATCTATATAAAATAATAAATGTATCAGTATAAAGCATCTAAAGGTAAAGGTTTCCCCTGATATTAAATTGAGTCGAGTCCAACTCTGGGGGGTGGTGCTCATCTCTATTTCTAAGCTGAGGAGCCGGAGTTGTCTATAGACACCTCCAAGGTCATGTGGCCAGCATGACTGTACAGAGCGCCGTTACCTTCCTGCAGAAGCGGTACCTATTGATCTACTCACATTTGCATGTTTTTGAACTGCTAGGTTGTCAGAAGCTAGGCCTAACAGCAGGAGCTCACCCCGCTCCCCGGATTCGAACCGCCACCTTTCAATCAGCAAGTTCAGCACCACAGTAGTTTAACCCGCTGCACCACCACATAAAGGATTCATATATATAAAAGAGAAAAGGGGGTTTCCTCCTTTTTAGGGAAAGACTTGATAGATATCCTAGAAGGCTAAGTTCCTTAGCTGACCATTGCAAAAAAAAAAAAACTCCAGCAATGATGGCTTCGTTAGCTATTTGGGTATTCCTCTCTGGCTTGCACAGGAGTGCCGACAAGAACGCAATTAATTGTTGAAGAATACAGTCAACACAAAATCTCATTCTTTCAGTAGCTAATTATGAGAAAATTCAAAGACCTGTTCTTCAATGTATACATATTAATGATGTGTCCTTAACCAGAGGAAGACTGCTAATTAAGAAAAGCTTAGCAGTGGCTTTAAAACAGGAATGTTAACATATGCAAATGAGTCGTATGGTCTGATTTCTTGTCGCGGGCTTTTACTTCGGGGATTATACCATTTACTTATACCATTTACGAGAACAGATTAAGCAAACTGGGCTATTGTAGTAGCCGTGTACATGGAGAAAGCCCTCCGCCCAGCCTCAAAAGAGCTTCAACGCCAGTGTAAGACTGCCCTCTTCTGCTCAAAAAAAGAAAACCGTGGAGTTGAACAGTATTAACATTTTACAGCATATATAAAGTAGTAAGCCCACTTATTACAGGAGCTCACTCAACATGGTTTCATTGATATGCTTTTTGAGTACGACAGAATCACTATGGAGAACCTAGCAATGCCTAGAGAATTTTTCTTTCTGGACCTCCAGAATGAGTCTTTGCATAGCTTCTTCTGGGAGTTCCCTCAGAAACTGACCACAGATAGGGCACTTCTCTAAGCATTTTCGAGGTCATTCAGGTTATGCAAAAATTGCACTGGATTCCGGAATGGATTCCTCGTGTTATATATCAACCTACTGTAGATAGATAGGTAACTAGATAGATCAGTGTTTCTCAACCTGGGGGTCGGGACCCCTGGGGGGGGGGTCAAGAGGGGGTATCAGAGGGGTCACCAAAGACCATCAGAAAACACAGTATTTTCTATTGGTCATGGGGGTTCTTTGTAGGAAGTTTCCATCATTGGTGGAGTCAGAATGCTCTTTGATTGTAGGTGAACTATAAATCCCAGCAACTACAACTCCCAAATGTCAAGGTCTATTTTCTCAAAATCCTCCAGTATTCACATTTGAGCATGTTGAGTATTCGTGCCAAGTTTGGTCCAGATCCATCATTGTTTGAGTCCACAGTGCTCTCTGGATGTAGGTGAACTACAACTCCAAAACTCAAGGTCAATGCCTATCAAACCCTTCCAGTATTTACTGTTGGTCATAGGAGTTCTGTGTGCCAAGACTGGTTCAATTCAGTCGTTGGTGTTCAGATTGCTCTTTGATTGCATGTGAACTATAAATTTCAACAACTACAACTCCCAAATGACAGCATCAACCTCCCCTTCAACCGCACTAGAATTCAAATTTGGGCATATCAGGCATTTGTGCCGAATTTGGTCCAGCGAATGAAAATACATCCTGCATATCAGATATTTACATAACGATTCATAACAGCAGCAAAATTACAGTTGTGAAGTAGCAACAAAAATAATGTTATGGTTGGGGGTCCCCACAACATGAGAGAACTGTATTAAGGGGTCGCGGCATTAGGGCGGTTGAGAACCACTGAGATAGAGAGATCTAGACAACTATGTAGTTAGAGATATAGGTCTAGACACCGATGTTATTATCTGTTATATGTATTTTCGAGGTCCTCCAGGTTATGCAAAAATTGTATTGTGTAATGGATTCTAGAATGGCTACCTTGAGTTATAAATTAACCTACTGTGATAGATAGATAACTAGATTGATAGAGAGGTCTAGAAAACTATGTAGATAGATAGATATAGGTCTAGACACTGATGTTATTATCTGTTGTATGTATTTTCGAGGTCCTCCAGGTTATGCAAAAATTGTATTGTGTGATGGATTCTGGAATGGCTACCTCGAGTTATAATCAACCTACTGTAGATAGATAGATAACTAGATCGATAGAGAGATCTAGAAAACTATGTAGATAGATAGGTCTAGATACCAATGTTATTATCTGTTGTATCTATTTTCGAGGCCCTCCAGATTATGCAAAAATTGTATTGTGTAATGGATTCTGGAATGGATTCCTCGTGTTATACATCAGCCTACTGTAGATCGATAGATAACTAGATAGAGGTCTAGACACCTATGTAGATAGATGGATGGATGGATGGATGGATGGATGGATGGATAGATAGATAGATAGATAGATAGATAGATAGATAGATAGATAGATAGGTCTAGACACCAACGTTATTATCTGTTGTATGTATTTTACTTTGCTTTATTGTAAGTCTTGGGCTTGGCCTCATGTTAGCTGCCCCGAGTCCCCTTGGGGAGATGGTGGCAAGATATAAATAAAGATTAATAATATCTATCTATCTATCCACTGACAGCTGGTCTTTTTTCAGACTCATTTAAAGGTCTTAGTTATGACCCATAATGCCCTGAAATAGTTCAGATCTAGATTATCTGTATTCTACAATATGAGTCTGTCCAGGTTTTCAGACCTTCAAAGGAAACTCTTCCCTCCATCCCACCTGTGCATCTGATAGGAAAGAGCTTTCTTAATGGTTGCTCCCTGGTTCTGCAGCTCCCTTCCTTGCAAACAAGAGTGAAGACCTCCATGCTGTGCCTTCAAGGAGCAGATCAATAAAAATGTTTCAGGAGACTTTAGAAACTGATTGCTCATAGGGAAAATACTTTTAAATAATGCTTTGTAATGTCTGTAAATGTTTGTAAATGTTTGTAAAACTATTGTCCTCCCAACCCTGCTGTAGGCCTGCGAGACGTGAACTATCTACAGAAGTCACATGCAACTCCTAGAACGATTCCATCAGTGTTGCCTCCAAAACATCCTGCAAATCCTTGGGAAGACAAGGGAACAAATGTCAGCATGCTGGAAGAAGCAAAGACCACCAGCATTGAAGCAATGGTCCATCAACTCCGCTGGACCGGCCACATTGTCCGGATGCCTGACCACCATCTCCCAAAGCAGTTGCTCTACTCCAAACTCAAGAACAGAAAACAGAATGTTGGTGGACAGGAAAAGAGATTTAAAGATGAGCTCAAAGTCAACCTTAAAAACTCTGGCATAGACACTGAGAACTGGGAAGCCCTGGCCCTTGAGCGCTCCAGCTGGAGATCAGCTGTGACCAGCAGTGCTGTAGAATTTGAAGAGGCACGAATGGAGGGTGAAAGAGAGAAATGTGACAAGAGGAAGGCGCATCAAACCAACCCCAACTGGGACCGCCTTCCACCTGGAAACCAATGCCCTCACTGCGGGAGAAGATGCAGATCAAGAATAGGGCTCCACAGTCACCTACGGACCCACCGCTACTACATCGATCTTGGAAGACTATCCTACTCGGACAATGAGGGATCACCTAAGTAAGTAAGTAAGTAATGCCTGTGAATAAGTAAGTAATGCTTTTTCACAGTCTTGCTTTGCAATTGCTTTTAATTATCATAACTGTATAACTGTATTTTTTATTTTTTAGATGCTTTACTGATGTGAACTTTCATCAGCTTGTTTTAATTTTGGGAAGCTGCAAACATTTAGTCCTACATTTTAATAAACACCTGTTAGCCATTTCATATGCAATTCATGTCTGTTTTTAAAGCTATATGTTTAATGTTTACATGCCCTAGTTTATTGTCTAATTGGTTTCTTCCCCATTTCAACATTTAATTATCTCATTATAAGTTTACTGTTATTATTGTGTATTATTTTGCATTGCTCCTGATGCTGTTTGTTATTATTGAATGTTTGCCTCCCCCCCCCCCCCCCGTGAACTGCCCTGAGTCCCTTTAGGGAGAGGGGTGTGGTCTAGAAATTATTATTATTATGGGATTTTATTCAGCTGTGTTAGAGCGGACTCATTGGCAAACCACAGTAAACTTTTCAGTGCTCCTACATTATATCACCATCTTGTGGTCAAATGCAACCATCACACGAAACACAAAGCTTATGCAAAAAGGAAATGAATTGTGTAAGAAAATCATGTTAGAGCAAACCTTCCTTTGCTTACTATTTTTCTCAAGGACAAACCTTTGATCAGGATCTAGTTTTCATCCAGCTTCTGCCTCAATGGAGAAACAACATGGAAATATTTTGAGGAAGGGGAGGAATAGATGTCGTATTGCTTGTCTTGTGTTCTGCTCCATGGATAATAGAATGGTTCGATGTACATAAACTTTGGTTCACACACAAATTTACTTATAATACCGTATTTTATAATGTTATATGAAATATAAATAAATTTCATGTTTAGACTTGACTCCCATCATAAAAATATCTCATCTCAAGGACCGGGCTGTGGCGCAGCTAGTTAGTAGCCAGCTGCGTGAAATCACTACTGACCAAGAGATCATGAGTTCGAACCCAGCCCGGGTCAGAGTAAGTTCCCAACCATTAATAGTCTAGCTTTCTGTTGAACTATGCTGTTGACTGAAAGACAGTTGCATCTGTCAAGTAGGAATTTCGGTACCGCTTTATGCGGGGAGGCTAATTTAACTAATTTATGATGCCATAAAACCTTCCAGCAAAGTGCAGCAGGATGAAGAAGTACTCCATCAAAGGAACCGGTGTCACAAGTGGATGGTGAAGTGGCAGCTCCCCCTGTGGCCAGAACCGAGCATACCCTCATGAAGCAGGAAAAAGCTGGAATGTTAAATTGCCTCTGTGTCTGTCTATATATGTTGTATGTCTAAATGGCATTGAATGTTTGCCATGTATATGTGCATTGTAATCTGCCCTGAGTCCCCTGCAGGGTGAGAAGGGCAGATAAATACTGTATATTTATAATACAGTATTATTAAATACTGTATATAAATAAATAATAAATACTGTATATAAATAAATAATCTCCGTAAATGCAAATACAAGTATTCCAAAATCCCAAATACTTCTGGTCCTAAGCATTGTGGATAAGGGATACTCAACTTGTATTCCAAAGTTCGGAACCATGACAGCTAAAGTGAAATAATAGTAGCGTGAATGGGCCCGATGGGTTAAACCTACACTGTTTCAACAAGCTTTAATTCACCAATGATGTTCACTGATTTAAAAAATACTTCTATTTCATTGCAGTGCTATGTAGCTTATCAGATTTATTTCTTAGTAAAATAAACCTGTTTTGTTTTTAGAGTTTCATTGTAAATCACTATGAGCACTCTCTGAACAGAAGGATTCAGAAATGTATTTATAATACATATGATCCCTAACAATTGATACACAGTAGAGTCTCACTTATCCAACATAAGTGGACCGGCAGAACATTGGATAAGCAAAAATGTTGGATAATAAGGAGGGATTAAGGAAAAGCCTATTAAATATCAACTTACATTATGATTTTACAAATTAAGCAACAAAACATCATGTTTTACAACAAATCAGCAGAAAAAGCAGTTCAATACATGGTAACGTTATGTAGTATTTACGAACTTAGCACCAAAACATCGCAATGTATTGAAACAGCTGTGGATCTGGGGGGAAGGCGGACTGCATTGGATAATACAGAACATTGGATAAGTAAAGGTTGGATAAGCGAGACTCTACCGAATGTTCAGAATGTAAGGGGGGAAAGCAATAATTTTTCGTGGACTAGTAGCATCCTGCAGCATAAATCCACAATACCTCAAGTTGTCTAGCAATATTGTCCCATTCAGCCGGTGTCATATTTGAAGAATCAAGCAACTGATCAAGTTCCAGGATTGTGTAGATTATTCTTTTGTTTTGGTTAGAAGACCTGTAAAACAAATAATATTTTGTGAAATTAGTTTTTCAAGTTGTACCATTTTTACAAGGGAGCTGTAGTGCCACACTGAGTTAAACTCTTGTGTTGCTCAACAGATGATCTGAAAGTTGGGTGAACTGCTGACCTGAAGGTTGGTGGTTCAAATCCACAAGAAAGGGTGAGTTCCCATCCATCAGCTCTAATTCCTGCCAAACTAGCAGTTCGAAAACATGCAAATGTGAGTAGATTAATAGGTACCACTTCAGTGGGAAAAGGCAAAGAGATGCTCCAAGCAATCTTGCCAGCCACACAACTAGGAAGTGACAACGCAGGCTTGAAAATAGAGGTAGAGATGAGCACCACCTACAGAAGCCGGAAATGAAAGGAGAAGCCTCTGCCTTTGTTTGTGTTTGTGTGTCCCGTTGTATATGACTGTAAAGGCATTGAATGTTTGCCTGTGTACGTAAAATGCTGCAATTCACTCTGAGTCCCCTAGGGGAGAAGGGTGGAATATAAATAAAGTGTATTATTATTATTATTATTATTATTATTATTATTATTATTATTATTACCACCGTTTTCCCACTCAGTATCAACCTGGGCACCTGGCTAAGTGCACCTAGTGAAAAATGCCAAAATAATAATTTTGTTTTAATCTGAGGATGGTTCTTGTGACAGGACGAGATACGATTGATTTTATCTTCCCAGTAATTACGATCCTATTAAAGAAAATTTAACCAGTCATCTGAGGTTTGATCAGTCAAGTCTGCATGTATCTGTATATAGGTTAAACCATAGTTATAAAGAAAAATACTAATATATTAAATATACTGATAATCTATAATATATAATGATAATACTGTTTTATTATCGTATTTGTTGTAATGTTTTTAATTGTGAGCCACTTTGAGCCTCCATATGGAGAGATAAAGCAGGATATATATATATATCTCAAGACACAATCCAGCAGGCAGGCTGCATCTCTTTCCTCCTACATAAAATGAAAAGAACATCTTATTACAGAACTAGCTTGGGAACACAGCAATGCCCGCGTTATTTGAGGAAGGCATTTTTTTGTCTGTGCTCCCAGTTTAGTCGAAATCCAACATCAGCTGGGTTCAGTGGGTACAACTCAACTACAACTCCCATATGCCAAGGTCAATCACCCCCAAACCCCACCTGTATGCACAGTTGGTCATGTTGGGTCTGTGTGCCAAGTTTGGTGCAGATCCATCATTGGTGGGGTTCAGAATGTTCTCTGGATCAAATGAATTAGAACTCCCACATGGGTGGGTTAGTTCACCAAACCCCTCCATTATGTTTTGTTGGCCGTGTTGGGTCTGTGTGCCAAGTTTGGTCCAGATCCAACGTCGGCTGGGTTCGGAGTGAACTATAACTCCCGGATTCCAAGGTGAATCAGCCCCAAAACTCGCCAGTATGCAAAGTTGGCCATGTTGGGTCTGGTTGGCAAGTTTGGTCCGGATCCGTCATTGGTGGGGCTCACAATGCTGTCTGCATGCAAGGTGAACTACAACTCCCACACAGGTGAGTCAGCCCTCCCCCCCCCAACCCCTCCAATCTGTTCTGTTAATAAGCAAATTTTCTAGGCTATTATTGATTATTTAGTGCATAGATAGATAGATAGATAGATAGATAGATAGATAGATGCATACATACATTAAAAAGGAAGCACTATCACAATGTCGTCAACTCCGAAATGAAGTCATGAATACGATATTGTAGTTTAAATTGCACAACACAGCAAAATTGGTTCTGCAAATTACTAACTATTGTAATGTTACAGTGTATGGGACTTCCATATGCTTGCCTATAGGCAAACCTAATGATTCAAGCCCCAGCACAAAGGAAAAAACATTAAAACTCAGGGTTTTTTAGAGTAAGGTTAAGATCTGCAGTAAGAATGTGTGATCCTAGTGGACCCAATACTTACGAAAGCACCAAAGTATCATCTTCTAGGTTAATTTTCCTGGCATACACAGCGTCATGAAGAATTGGGATCTTTTTCAGGTACCTTGCTAACTTGTTTGCTTCAGGAATTAGACCTAAAAAAAACAAAGGAAGAAACAACGAGGAGTAAAACAGATGTTCACTGAATCAGAATGTTAATATGTCTCCATATTATCTACACAAAACTTAATACATTACATAAAAGGAAAAAGTCATAACCTTTGATCACAGTACCCAAGATGTGACAAATAAAACATATTTTGTCATTAATTTTGTCATTTGGGAGTTCTAGTTACTGGGATGTATAGTTCACCTACAAACAAAGAGCATTCTGAACTCCACCAATGATGGAATTCAACCAAACTTGGCACACAGAACTCCCATGACCAACAGAAAATACTGTTTTTCTTCGCGGTGTCTGTGAATTCACACATATGGAGTTACTGCGCCTGCGCAGGACTGATCGGAAACTTCTCAAGTTATACTTTTGAATTTTGGCGGTATGCCCGCCCACTCCTCCCAAGGGCATAAAGGGCCCCCTGGCCGTACGCTCCCCAGTTCGCTTTTTTCCGCCGCCGCAGCGACTTCGGAGCTTCGAACAAGTCTTCTATCAACATAGGGGCCTTCGTCCCCTTCACGGCATTGGTGCCGTTTTTCAACTTAGCATCGTTGGAGTCTTCTATCAACATAGGGGCCTTCGTCCCCTTCACGGCATTGGTGCCGTTTTTCAACTTAGCATCGTTGGAGACTTGCCCAACAAATGTGCCATATTCCAGCCTCCCCTCCACCTTGAGAGGGGCTGCTGCTGATGACCGCTGCCGTCCCGATATTCAATCGGCACCCGGCTGATTTTAAGAGGTTTGTTTAAACCTAAAAGCGGTACCTTCTAATTAGAGTCAAGGAAAGCTCTAACGGCCCAGGCACATTGGCTAATCAGACGGGTGAAGACGGCCTCTATCACCCAAACGGTGAGATCCTCCAGTCGCCCTCCTCAATCATGGAAGGGCTCCATTCTTGGCCATCAGGACATATGGCTGGTAAGAAAAGGAAATTTCATCCTTCGGGGCTGGATAACATGGCGTGGACACGGTATGGATGACACTGTGATTCACCCTCAGTCCACCCGCCCCGCGAAAATCAACCCGTTCGATGTTGAGGCCTATTCCATCGTCTTAAACTACCTGGGCCAAGGCCATGGACACTCATCCAATGGCCCTTGCTGCCCCTTATGTGCTTCTTCACCTTCCGTCTGTCTCTAACACCTCTCCTTCCTGACAGGCTACTTTGCCCCTTCAAGGAAACTGGTTTTTCTCCTCGGAGACTACAACTTTCGGCCCACCTTACCATGAGAGGGGTGCTGCCGTCAAATATCAGCCTACCTTCTTCCGAGAGGGTTCTCTTCTCTCTGGGACTACAAGTGCCCCCCCTTTTTTTTTTGCCAGTTTGAAACCCTATGCGACATGGTTTCCACAAAATGGCGTCTCAAAGACAAGCTGTCTTTAAAGAAGTGCTAAAATGGCCTTCAAAGTTAAAACAGACAGGCTGAGCCACCTCTTGGCACTACGCCACCTCCTGGTGGTTGCTTGTCGCCGCAAATACCTCTCCGGACGATTTATTCGGCTTAACAGCAGCCATCTCGGCTTCAACTATAGATACTGACATGACAGCGGGTGCCAATGGCAGCTCTTCTCATTTTGGCCACGCCTCCACACACCGAGAGACTGATGGCCTCAATCTTGCTTCTCCTTCGGCCACGATTCCGAAAGGCCTTAGGATTGAATGCCTCCACAGGGCCCTTGCCCCTGTCAGTAACACTATTTCTCAAAAAAAAAAAAAAAAGGATAGAGAGAGAGAGATAAAATAAAATAAAACAAAACACACGACGGCACCTTACTATGGAGCTTGGCCCTGTCACCAGTCTTGACAATCCAATCTTACCAAAACAATTGGGATTCGATCAAAACTTTTGTCCTGATCATGGCCCCCTGGTCAGTTACACTGCCCTGGGTACAGCCTGGCATGTACACTCCTCTACATGCTGACTGAAAGACATGGAGATTCTTTATCACGGCCACTAAAAAGAGCCAGATCAAATCATCAGATTCTCCAATAACCTAAATGACAAACCCTCACCGAATCCAAGGGTCAGACTCCTAGTCTGACTTCTTCGATACTGGCCAAGTTTCATCGACACCGTGCTAACCTATCGGTATCGACCACCCAACTAGACATCGTCATACCCGATCACTAGGGATCGGCTATGTTCGTTCCCACCCTACACCTCTGAGGGCTCAATAAGGATGCAGTTAGCTACCTTTAATATCGTTCGATAGCCCCGCAGTTTTAAAGCCTGCCTACTTTCAAATAATAATAGTTATTGATAAGTGTTACCTGGTCCTGACTCTTTACTACTCTGATTGTGGATATATATATATATAACTTCCAAGAGTCTTTGTCTTGTGATTTAGACTCTGTCTTCTTCCAACTAAAGGAGTTGACGAACCAGTCCACTAAAGAGAGTTGTTTTTCTCTTACAACTCAGGACGTTACAACTCGGTCCCGTCTCTCGAAATGACATAGCAGCGGCTTTCTTTCCCTGCCTGTTTGCCGCCAATAAAAAAGGAGAGCATTTTGGCTTCTGCTGCCTCTCTCCCGCTGCCTGTGGGCCCTAACGGCACACTTCCTGCCTCCGTGGGAGAAGCGTGGTTCCTCGGTGGGTGCAGCAGCTGCCCCTTTCCCCCGAGTGCCTGCCGCTACCAAGAGAAGGGCGCCCTATGAGATCTGCTACCTCCTTCCCACCACCCTCTTCCCCAAGAAGAGTGCACGCCGTCTGTGGAAGATTCTGCTACGACAGCGGTCTCTATCCCTCCTGCGCTCACCACCGTCAGGAGAGTGATGCGAGTCAGCATCGGCTATCCCCTATTGCCTGGAGGACCAGGCGCCACGGAGCTGACTGCCTTTGCTAAGGCCAGCCCCCGCCGAAAGCAGTGGAGCTCGTGCCCTCCACGCCCGTTATGCCGGTCTCGGCTAGGGCAGTGCACTGGAGTTTGGGCCCTCCGAAGGCCCCGATGCACTCAGGCACCACAGAGCCGATTACCCTCGCTGAGGGCAGCCCCTGCTGGAGGCAGCGGAGTTGGTGGCGTCCATGCCCATTATGCCAGTCTCGGCTAGGGCACTGCTCTGGATTTCGGGCTCGCCAGCAATCCTGATGTTCTCAGATACCATGGAACCGAGGGCTGAGGCCGGCTCCGACGGAGGCGTTGGAGCTTATGCCCTCCATGCCTGTTATGCCGATCTCGGCTGACACAGCGTCCTGAAGCTTGGACTTCTAATGACGCCAACGCCTTCCACCTGGCTGAACCCTGGTGTTCTGGCCCATAGTGGCCCTGGTGCCTCTTTCATTGCAGAGCAGGCCTGATGCCTCCCTTATGGTGGAACCCAGGAGCTCGGGCTCGACAGCAGCCACCACGCTCTTCTCATTGCTGAGCCCAAGAGTTCCGAGTCAGCAAGCAGTGGCCCCGCTATCGCCCCCCCTCTGGATTCGGGGGCCTTTACCATGTCGCTGAATACTGGGCTGCTGCTACCACTCACATCGAGATGGTATGTACAACTTTGGGCTATAGTAGAGATTGGCCCCTTATACGGTTGGCTGCTGCACCACGTCCACCCATACACCAACTGATGAAGCTGACAGTGTTTCTGATCAATCTGACAGTTATTTGGACGGTGCCCAAATAATAGTAATAAGAATAATAAGAATTATAATTAAAGACCTTGGCCTGCACTTAACCACAATTAGCGCTGGCGAAATTACCACCTGTCAGCTACAGAAGACCACCTTACTGGGATCTGCACGCATAATTTGCTGATATATACCACACAGTCCTAGGCGCTTGGTGAGTGTCTGATGTGTGATCCAATACAACAGCCAGCAGAGTGCCTTCTGTGGAAAACTTTTGGCCATGACAGACGGACCTACCTTCAAATGGTGAATTCAATTACTTCACAGCTGTAGTGCTGGACTCAACCATTTTACATCATTTATGATGGTGTATTCGACACTTTTACAGCACTTGTGCTGATTTCGACAATTTGTCCAGCATATTTGGTGTTGGATTCAACAAGTTTATGGCACTTGTGTTGGCTTTAATAAGATGAAAGTAATTCAACAACCCTTCTAGTGCTTATGGTGCACCTAGCACATGCCTTAATATTTATTTTAGTACATTCACCTTCTCCGGTGAAGACTCTATACCCCCTTCAGAACAGCAGCATACCCTACTGCTATGCGCTCTTATCCTGCCCTACTCTCTACAGTTAATCAGATCACCGGACCCTGCACCAAGTTTTGTCCCGGCGATATCAAAGGATCTAATATTATGTACTGCGTCAGCCTGCCTTCAATGGATTGAATGGAAAACTAACTTGACTCCGTCATGGTGGACACATCACAACCATACATGGTTCACAACCCTCATATGTCTACACCTGGTTACGACAAGAAAACTGCCATGGTCAAGAGTGATCATTCCTGCGGACATCTACACACGGCCTACTATGGGGCCCGCTGCTCTGCTCCTAAATTGCTTCTTACCTGATCACTCCCCCTTACAGGAAAAAGGGTTTGCCAAAAAAAACCAAAAAACAAAAAACTTAAAACTTACCGTTGTTCTCCTACAGCCGGTCCTCCATTCCATCCCGAGGGCGGCATACATCCCATCCTTGCAGAGTTCTTACTCCTATATATATCCCAGTGTCTGGCTTTGACATATTTTCATCAAGTCTCCTGATGATCCTTCTACGATCAAATAACTTCAACTCTCTGCTCTCTATGGTTGGAAGGGTTTTTCCCCCTTCTTCTACGAAATATTGTCAAAAACCTATGTTACAATCCTGGCGACACAAATGTTGTGTCGGAACACTCCAAAGCCCTCCACTAACCAACTTCATTACCTCGACCCTCCATCTCGTACAGGGCCCTCGATCTCGTCCTCTATCAGCCCCCCGGTTGGCCGCATCGACTCCTGGCCAAGCTGGACACCAGTTCTGGTCATAACAGATGAACCCCCCCCCCCTGGCCCCACCATCTCAGCTC